CGTGTCCACTGTCCCAAGGGTGAAGTTCGTGTATCAAATTAATTTGAGGTAATGGAATAATCCAGGGTTAGTGTTAAATGTAATAAAATTTATGAGTGATCGTCTGATTTTAGGTGTTTATAATTGCGAATTTATTGTTTAGTTGTATATTGAATGAGTGATTTGAAGAGAATGCATTTAAGTATTTTGCAATGAATAAATGATGGTTATTGGTAACACCAGTGAAGACTGAGAGAAAAGTAATACTGAGCTCACTGAAAATATACTAAAAACTGAGGAGAGTTGGAGAGTTCCAATTGTTTACGCTTTATATGAAGATACATACATGGACACTAAGAAATACTTATTTTACTTATATTATTGTACTTAGGAGCTAGGTACTAATTCATTTACTGGATTACAACGAAACAATATGGTGGAATATATCTAAGTAGATTTATATATATCTGCATTATGTCATGCAGACAACAGATCCCAAGAAATATCGCATAAAAATGGTTTATCATCTTGTGAAGACATTGTTAAATGAACGGGAATAAAAATTCAATTTCTAAGATATTCAGAACAGTTTAACGAACCAAAATATTAACTGAACCGAATCGTCTTACCAGGATATTGATTAAATTAACTTATGGATACAATATAATCTCGAAGTTTCGAAGATTATTTTGCAAACAAAAACAGAACATCAAACTTTTTCATCGTGAAATCTCCCAAAATTATATAAAGATTAAAAACTTTCTTTGCTTAAGTACGTACTTCTTTGTTTAAGTCAATCAATTAAAATAATATTAAAGTATACGTAATCGGCTTTATTGGCCACAGATTTTAATAAATCTACTGTCGATTAAATGGGAAACTTTGCAGTCATCTTCCATTCAGTCAGTCGCACAAAGCGTTTCGCGTCTGTTGTATCGCGTATGTTTCCTTGTGCTAACCGCTAAGGAATGGAATTCCTTGCCGGTATCTGTGTTTCCCGACCAATATGACTTGGATGTCTTCAAGTCCTGAGTGAAAAGGTTGTCCGTAGGTAGGCGTGCTCCATTGTCGGCAACATCATCGCTTACCACTAGGCGAGATGGTGGTCAAACGTCAACATATCAAGTATATAAAAGTCTTTTAAATTTTTATGTAATTTGTATGTATGTAATGTATGTAAATGTAATGTAATGTATGTAAATATGTAAAAGACTTTTACATAAGTAAAAGACTTTTATATACTTGATATGTAAGCAAGTATATAAGCAAGATATATAAGCAGTTTTTGGGTCCTTGTTATAAGGGTTGAGCCTACTAACAAACATCGATTCTACGATTGACACAACGCCATCCTTAATTAATGACAATTTCTTTGAACACTGACTGCCTCATTGGCCGAGTGGTCGTAAGTGCGACTGCCGGGCAAGGGGTCTCGGGTTCGATTCCCGGGTCGGGCAAAGTATTACTTGGTTTTTAAATATTCTCAGTAGTAGCACGGAGTCTGGAATTGTGCCCGGTATATGGCAATAGGCTCACCCCCTATTACATGGGACTCATAAAATAAATAGTGAAAAGTGGGTGTTACATTGTACAGTGGTTTAATGTGCACCTCTGCATACCCCATACATTAAAATATTTTTTCTTCGTTTCTAAATTCGAACGCAAAGGGCTCTAGAGGACTTAACGGGTTGCCGTGGCTCCCGACGCGAAGGGCAGGAGTAGGAACGGGATTGTTTTTAGACAGTAAGAGTCTGACACTCCCCGCCTCATCCAGGTGGCAGAAGTCATTCCTTGATTTTCCCTCTTAAAAAAATACCTACGTTTGATAGTCACACTGACAACAATAACGAGGCAATTCACGGATTAAATATAATTTAAAATACTCGAATCGTCGATTGCCATTAATATGGCCACCACTAATGGACACCAACATATCAATAACGAGTTACCGACGCGAATATTCACCGGCCATTACCTTTGTATTGGTATCAACTTGGGTTAATTCATTATGAACACCATACGCTTTGTTTTATGACACATTTAAATTATTTCGTTCATTTTGCAAACCATTGGTAAATGTTTCTGTTATTATTTCATATTGAATATAGTTTAATAACTATATATTTTGCTTATTGAAATTATTTGGTGTTTTAATAAAAACATTATTAAATTACATAATTGGATAGACAAATAATGTTCATTTCAATGTCTAAAATTATGAAATGAAATAATTGCGCAACTCGATTATACAATTCCTCATATTAACCCAGAGCTTGGTTTCAACAGAGCAAAAACTGCAAACATATAGAAAAGTTTCGTGAAACAAAGCTGCAGGCATAAAACTAGTCATATTAATATGAAGCTAAACTCCTCTGTGAGACCAGTCAGTTGGTTGAAATTAATTTACGCTTAGACTAAGGATTTAGCGATTTTATGTAGCCACAACCGTACGGTGGCGAAATATTAAAGTTTTGAGATTAACACTGGCTTAGAACCGAAACAGTTGCGAATATTAGCAGTGACTGGCTTGATTAAACTGCTCTTTTAGAACGAATAAATGCTTAAATTGTGTTGGACCTGTAGTTGTTATCATATGATATTGAATTTGATCGGTGGTCAGTAGTAAAGAGGTTAAAAGTAAGTTTTATTATTTTGCAGTCTGAGGTTTTTTCGAAAAGCGTATAAACGTTTTAATTCTAGATTCTAGCCATGTCTTGTTGAGTTAGATTAATCGGAAGTGGCTATATAAGAAGTCCCAACTTCGGTATCAGAGTCTATAAAACTGTAAGATAGTCAAGGAGATTGGAATATCTACTATGAACTAGCTTGCCTCTTTTTGTATAAGTCTCATAGCATTACTGTAAAAAGAAATATAGAAGGCTACCATATGTAGGTCAAAATCAATATATTTAGGTACAATTTCATACAATATAAAACATGGTATTATACAAAACAAATAACACAAAGGATTCACTAGATAACAGCGGTCGTAGCAATAAAGAATAATGACATAGCAATTGTTTTAATTGCCCTGGATAGAAGTGATTGAGACAATTTTGCAACTGACGATAGCAATTGACCTCATAACGCTTCTTATTACGTGTCACACTTTTGTCCAATGGCTTCATTCGATGCTTGTTCGTGAAACAAATGATGTATTTACATGTATTTGCTAATAATATACAATTTGGATATAAATATGTTTTTGTTATATGTTAATAGTTTTGTGTTAGCCTGGGAGGTGGTTCCTAGAAATTAATTCAGATTGTAAACTATTAATGGATTTTGTATTTGAACTCAGCAACTTTTTAATGGTTCCAGAATCGGATTGTGGGATCTAAAGTCACGTTTTCAACTCGTCGTCATAATAATGTTTAATTTCAAGATGACTAAAGAGTCAATTCCTATACTAAGTATAATTTTCTTGTTTTAAAGAAGAAAGTGGTTAAATTACATAACATAACATCACGCCTTTTATCCCCGAAGGGGTAGGCAGAGGTGCACATTATACCACTGGACAACTTTTTACTATTTATGTTATGAGTCCCATGTAATAGGGGGTGAGCCTATTGCCATATACCGGGCACAATTCTAGACTCCGTGCTACTACTGAGAGTTTACTGAAAAAGTGGTTAAATTAACATAGATTAATCACGTTCTTGCTCAAAATAAGAACATTAATTGCAATCCAATACTCAATACTCAAATTTCCTCTAAACAACGACACATTGAAAACTACAAAAACTTTACGACAGAGACCCATTCAAAATCTGTCTAATCCTACCCATATCATATCAATAGAAAATTTTGTTTGGACGTGCAAAGTCATATAAAATAAGGCTTAGAAGTATTAGCCGGGTTCTGTAACTTATCATTGGTGAATTTATCCGTACAGCAATCGATACTTATAAAAGGTTCTTTGAAATGCGTGACCTTTCATTCCAGAGGGCAATAAATATTACATGGATTACATGACGCAAACCATGTTACGCGTTGAATGTCACACTTGAAATATACCATGGCTCTCGCTAGAAGATAATTTGGAGGAAAATATATTAGAGGGCTAAATAAGGGTAGTTGTACATTTTTGTACTTGCATGTATCGACTAACTGTTAGTTTTAAACGCACTATAACTATAAAATACTAAGTCGACATCCTTTTGGGTACACCTTATTAGAAACACTCACGTTTTATTTCGTCTTTTATTTCTAAAACAACACATAGAATAATAATGGGTTATATGGCAGCGTCTTCAAAAAAAAAATGCATCATCGCAAACAATTTGTAAGTTCCGAATCCTCACAAATGTCGTTACTCAACTTTTTCAATTTCAATTTATCGAAACTCATGCTACCCTTCGGTTGACAGAGTAAAGTGTCGCTGCTCCCAATAGTTTAGCAAGGTTATACAGCAGCGGTCATAAATAAATCCCCCTTGACAGTAAGTAGCTTGCTTTTGGGCGGGGCTACTACATAAACCAATTCGGTTGACCTTTTCCGGCTCCTTTTTTCCGTAATCATTTAGGCAGATTCCTAAGTAACATTCCCAAATATCTAACCGTCGTCAGTTGGCTTTACCTGTCCAATAACAATATTTTAGGAAAGGAAAAATTGTTTATGTACACTACACTCGGACTCTGTCAGAAGACATATTTTAGTTATTGTGATGTTTCTATAAATACTTTTTTGGCATAATATGAAATTGGGCACAAACATTTTATGTAATAAACTATTTACAAAAGTGTATAAGTAATATAGACGGTAATTCCATTAAAAAGTAGAAAGACGTTCTAAATTACAACACAAGAGTGGGAGAGTCATGCTTCGGCACGAATGGGCTTGCTCGACAGGAGTGACACCACGGCCTCACAGAAGACCGACGTGAAACAACGTTGTGTTGTATTTCGTCGTTTGAGTGAGGTTACCGGAGGCCCAATTACCTTTCCCTTCCCCAATCTCCCCAATTCCTGAATCCTCTACGATCCTCAAACTCCTAATCCCCAAAAGGCCGGTAACGCCTCTGGTGTTCCAGGTGTCCATGGGCGACGCCGATTGCTTACCATCAGGTGATCCGTCTGCTCGTTTACCGGCTTATGCCATAAAAAAATTACAAAAACCACATGCAAAATAAATCAAACATCGTGCTCAATTATTGCAATCCTTATGTTGAATACTTATATTGAAAAATACAACCAAACTTGAGTACATCTTCAAACCCGAGGTAGCCAGGTTTAAAAGGATTTGTACATAATAACATGTACATAGTCCATACGAGATACATACGAATTTCAATTCTAAAGAAAGTTTTCTAGCGGACATATTGAAAGAAAAGTTAAAGAAAGGACATCAGTATGAAGGAGGAATCTTGGAAAGTTGCTTCACACGTCTCCGTCGCCGACACAAAGCCACTTTATTGAAACGTCCGACTCCTGTACAATGTACACGTTGTATGCTACTGTAATTTAAACTTGATATATAGAAATTTTAAGACTGATTTTGAATGCACAACATTGAAACGTGGAGCTACATTACATGCATTCATAAAAATCTTGTATACAGAAATGGTAGTTGTAGTATTTTTAACAATACCGTAATAAATATTTCATATCAATTTACTATCAATATCAGAAATATGAAATGAATAAAAGTTCAGTCGTTGAAAATCTTTTGAAAGACAATCTGTGCCTGGAACTTCCATCAATGATCGTTAAATTGGAAAAGTTCAAAGCTTTGATTTTTTTTTATTTATTTTTTCTATATTGTTCGAGATCGACTTCCTCTTAATCGAGTGCGACGAACTAGAAGTTAAAGATGAAATATTACAAGTGAACTTCTTTGACTACCTATGACATAGTTTTAAAACAACATCTAGGCAAGATTGTTCAATTTTATAAATAGTTTATCATGTTTTTACATAACATAACATCACGCCTTTTATCCCCGAAGGGGTAGGTAGAGGTACACATTACGGCATTTAATGCTATTTTACAGTGTAACACTCACTTTTCACTTTTTGTTATCGTGAGTCACATGTAAGAGGGAGTGAACCTATTGTCATATACCGAGCACATTTCCAGACTCCACTCAACTAATGAAATTCTTTTGAAAAATCCAGTAATACTGTACCCGACTTGAGAATCGCACCCGAGACCTCTTGCCCGGTCAACGAAGCAGTCAATAATTATTGACTTCAAAATAATATGACTAACGAACATGAATACAACCGTATCTCTAACCTAAAATAGATTTCGTAATACGTAACTACGTAACTTCGTGAACTTTAATGCTTATACCTCTAGATATTTCCAAAAGTGAAGAAGACAAGGCAAAAATTTTAGTTATAAAACTGATTAAAATTATACTTCATCGATACCTTTGAAATCGAGTCTCATTGGACAATCTGTCACTCGAGACAGACGTAAAGAATTAGATTACCGAAGTTACTTTATTGAGAACTTGCTGATACTTGTGACTTCGCTTACAGGGTAAAGTCAGCCAGATCTGCTACTACTATGATATTATTTAATATTACTGATTTATCGAATGTTTGCACTAATCACTTGCCAACAGATGATCCATTTGCTCGTTTTTCGTTTAACCTATTTCAAAAAGATACATCTAAATAATAGGTACACACATTGTACTTGAATGTTGTGCATATCCTTACTAATATTATAAATCGGAAAGTACTTCACGCCGTAACTACTAAACCGATTGCATTGAATTTTTGCAGACGTAAAGTTAGTAGTCTGGATTAAATAATAGGGTACTTTTTATCCCGAAAAAATTGATATTCCCGAGGGAAAACAAAAGTATTAGTATAGATGGCGCTGTATGTATTGGTATATGTCACATAAGCTACTTTTTATCCTTTTGTGACGCGAGCGAAGCCGCGGGTAAAAGCTAGTCTTTAATTAATGTAAACACTAGTCTGTATCTTTACCGTTTTCTTACTTTCAATGTTTGTTGATATGCCTTTAAAAAATAAAATAAATAAAATGAGTAGTTAAATATCATCTTTGCAGTAAGATATTTCGTGCTGATAAACCTAAAAGCAACCGCAAACAAACACAAAATCATACTTTTACAATATTAGTAGAAATATAAATTCAGTCTGTATTCGAAGCGAACCTGTTCTTCGATTACCTCTAAAAATTGGCGCTGTTACAATAAAATCCAGAAATCACTTCTAGTGTCAGCGATCCAACTTGTCCAACTTTCATGTTCATCCACTCAACAAAGTCACTCTAAATGCTCTGAATTTTTATATAGATTAGGTATATAAAATGCGTGCAAGAATCTACAGATCGTTAGAATCCCGATGCTTATACAAATTAATTCACCCCTTTCAAAGATGCACATGATGCAATCCGGCTGCCTTCGTGCATTGAAATTTATACTTATCAACTTTTTTTATGGCATTAGCTGGTAAACCATCAGACGGATCACCAGATGGTAAACAATCGGCGCCGCCCACCAAAGCGTTACAAGTGCGTTACCGGCATTTTGGGAATTGATAGTTTGAGGATTGTGGAGAATTCGGCGATTGGGGAGACTGGGGAGGAGGGGGAGGGTAATTAGCCTCCGATAACCTCACTCACACGACGAAACAAGAGTTGTTTCACGTCGGTTTTCTGCTCCGCCATGGTATCACTCCGGTCGAGTCAGCCCATTCGTGCCGAAGCATGGCTCTCCCACACTTAAAACTGACAACTGACTCATATAAGAAAATATAATAAACTAGCTACTTCAACTACTTTCGCGCGGTTTCACACTGCTCGGCCCCTATTGATCGTAGCGTGATGTTTAATATAACATAATTATAATAGCCTTCCTCTATAAATAGATACCTATAAATTTATCCAACACAAAAATATTTTTTCAAATCGGACCAGTAGTTCTTGAGACAAGCGAGTTCAATCAAACACACAAACTCTTTAGCTTTAATAAGACTTTTAAACTAACATTAAGAGTTTTTTACAATTTTAAAATTCATAATCATAATAGGTAGATTTTTTTTTAAATAACATAATTTATATAACTACATAAATATTTACAACTTAAAATTAACTACAACTAAACTATTAAATAAAAAGAAAGTAAAAAAAAAAGAAAACAACAAAAAAATTACCCTTAATTTAGGCGTCAAATTATTCATCCGCATCACTATCACAGGGGAAAGTTCCCAGAAGACTGGCAGCATTGCCACGTTGAATGGCAATGCTTATTTTCTGTCCGAAGAAAAAGCCAGCCCTCTGGTCACGTGTAGAGTCGATTAGCCTACGGGCGATTAGATAAATAATAGGTAGATTATATGTATAAACTCTAAACTCAGTATTACTAAACTTACCCAACACTGTTTTATATTAAACCCCTAATACTGTGATTTACAAACAATTCCCAATATATCCGTCTCTTAAACATTACACCTACGTCTGCTATTCAACCAAATAGTTTTTACTACCACAGAAACTAATATTAATCAATTTTCATTACAAGTTCAGTTTAATTCCGTTCTAACCTAACCCCTTTACTACCTTTACAATACGACTCTTACGTAATGAGATAAGGCTCGGCTTAGACACATAAACTGGCGGTCTCAATTAAAACAGCTAGTGTAGCTCCGGCCTTACTTGAAAGATTAATACGACCCTGTGCTATTCTGTTTATGTAACGTTTACTCACGAACTTAAATTATCAACAAGGGACCTAAATCTGGTGTGTGACGTAATTTTCTGTGCTACACTTGTATTTTTGGTACCTGTAGGCTACAGTTGATCGCTAACTCACTAGGTAAGCCTAATAACTTTTCTTAAACTATCAGGGCTGTACGAGGTTTTGAGAACAATGCGTTTATATGACTAGTAATATCAAACTCTTCATTTTGGTTTTGCATTTCTTTCTTAAAACCATATATCTTAAACCTGCTGTGACAGTAGCTATTTAGCTAAATATACTCGAAAATAATATAATTATTATAGAAGAAAGAAAAAAAGAAAGAAAAAATCCCATTTATTGTTACGTGGAACACACATAACATAACTAAAAACTACTAAAAATAAAAATAAAATATAAAGCGAGGGTAAACCAAGGTAGGTATCATAAAAATATTAGAGATATACATATAAATTAAAAATAGCAAGGTTCAAAGCTAAAGAAAAATTAAAAATGAAGTCTATAGAATATAGAAATATTTTCTTAACATAGTTCTTACTTATATACAAGCGACTACTATCTCGATATCTTGTTACAAAGTGGAAGCAAAGTTTGAAACTAAACAGTTCTTACCTTCATCGACTACCCGAGAGTGTGAGGTCAGGTGACGCCTCAACCGATGAATATTTATAAATAAACTCATTTATAAATGTTCATATAACATTTTCTTTTACCCTTTGAGACCTTTTGCAGAAGGTATCTCCTCACCTCTTACCTCTGACCGCGATAATATATTTTATTTGGGCGGGCAAATTAGGTTTCACCATTGGGTGTTAAATGTTAATGTGCACGTAGTAACATGAATTGTACCATGTTCTATTTATTAATTCGTACTTTTATCTATTGACCTTTAGTCTAGAAAAGAATATCTAAATTTCCACCGCAGTTTTAAAAATAGTAATTTAATTTCAGATTTCAATAATGCTTTCATTTACATATTATCTACCAAAATAAATTAGAGCTTCTTGCAAAAATAACAATTTTAAAACTAAAAACAGTACTCAAGATTTCTCACGGGACTGGGACTTTTTAAATTTTAATTTCGTTAAGAGGACTGAGACGGAGAAGAGAGTAGAAAACTCTTTGAAAATTGTAGCAGAGTTTACGTAAAAATGACGTGGTAAATGCATAACCAATGAACATTATAAACCAATCATTCACTTAGCCTCAAAGATGATATGTAGTGTTAAGTAAAGACATATGCATAAAATGTAGGTATCATGGAAACCCTGGTTTGGAACATGTAGAAAGGATGGATGAAAGTAGAGTAACGAAAGAAGTATACAGAGCGGATATGAATGGGACCGTAGAGGGCGCCCTAGACGGACATATACTGACCAGATTGGCGATATATTAAAGAAGGGCCACATTAAAAGTAGCCTTAACTGCCGAGCATGCATAAAAAGATTGATGACTGTTGATGAAGCGAAAGAGGTATGTAGGAATCATAGAATTAAATGGTATCAATTGACGTTCCATAGTCTCTACCTACCACCATGGGAGACAGGCGTGAAGATATGTATGTTATTAGAAACACTTACATTTGAATAACGACTTCTATACGACCTGTATTTAAGCCATTGGTACTTCACACACACACTGATTACACAAAAACTCCAATCATGATACAGAAAAAACTTAAGACGAAAAAAAAAACTGAACCAAATTTTTCAGCTACGAAAAAATACAAGAAATATTTCTTTCGCATCAAAATTCCGTTCGCATACAGAACTTCGTGTGTCCGAATGATAATTTTCACACTACGAAAGCCTAAGAAGCAGTACATCCATCTTAATTATTCATGGCGAGGGTATCGATCCCATCTTAGCCGCCATCTGCTAACTGGCTCCCGTCTCCCAAGATCCCTTGGTAACTTTGTATAACATTATTTTGTTACTAACTACGCCCTCGCGGCGTCACCCGCTGCTGCCTAATGTGAGTTTTTTTACGTACGATCGGAATGTCACTACGTTTAACCCTCTGGTTGGCTGTTCCAAATTAACGAGTAGGTAAAATACATACGCCCCCTATTGGACTTCATTGGTCGTAGCGCATGTTTTATAGCCTTATTCGATAAATGACCTATCCACAATAAAAGGAATTGGATATTTTCGTCTGTTAAAAATTAATTATTTTAACTTTTTTATATCAGACTTTCATTGATTACCTTGGCGATATAGTTCATTATCGATTTCTTTTAGTTAATTTTCTAGCAATAAATCTGCCGTTTAACAGAAAAATATTATGAAGTTACAAGTCTGTATCTCATACAAAATCCAAAGAAAAATATCGTTTTTAATATTTTGATAAAAGTATTGGATTTGATGTCGTGGTGGCCCAGAAGTTTAAGACACCCGCTTCTCATGCACAATGGTGCGAGCTCGAAACCTACCGACGACAAGTACCAATGTGACTTTTTCAGAGTTATATGTATTTTCTAAGATTATCTAGACACCACTGACAAACGGTGAAGGAAAACATCGTGAGGTAACCTGGGCTTATAATTTCTTATTATTAGTAATTAGTTAGTTAGTTTGTAATCGCCAACCTGCATTGAGCAAACATGGCGATTAATGCTCAAACCTTCTCCGTGTAAGAAAAGGCTTTGCTCAGCAGTGGGCATTTATAGGCTGTTGTTGATTATTGGATTTGACGAGATATCAAATAGCGTATTATTCAATTTGAACCAGTCGTTCCAGCGATTTAACCCGTTTAAACAAAGAAACAAACAAACAAACACGTCAGCTTCATAATATAAACGTACAGATTTAATCCAGTCTTGGTTGTGGAGGCTTACACAGGTATTATGTTCCCCTTTGTATTTTCTTTCTAATTTCATATTGATCTAACAAACTCAAAATTGTTTCTGCATTGTATCTTGAATAATATATACGACAAACCTAATTTATATTTTGCTGGGCAGATGACTAATTTTTATTTTAATGTCCGTCTGGTAGATTATTTTAAATCATTAGACAGTGTTAAATCATTAGTAGACACGTATTATTAATTTTACTCACAGAAACGAATACTTTCAAAGATATATTGATTTAAAATGTCGCGTGACGTCACTTCTATGTATGTACATTTTATACGTAGAAATGACGTTTTAGCCCCCGCTCCTTAATTTTGATTCGTTTTATCTAAGTATTGTTTTATTATACGATAAAATAAAAAAATACGTATCTAATATTTTTTCATTACCTTACTTACGAACAAATTATATTTTTAATTTTCATACCCTGTCTTCATCCTAATTAGTTTGCTCATATATATGTATTAGTTACTCAATTAGAATGGTGAAATTATCACGCTAGATATAGACGAACAAATAATTTGCTTATAATAAATTACTACCTAAGTTTTCTCTTATCAAACGTAATTGTCAAATAATTCTATTTAATTGGAACAAACATTCAGCCATTAAAATACAGACCTTTTGACTTGATAAAACAGTAATAAATGTTACTCGTATACTAAAGCTATCAATCAGAAACTCAAACAACAAAAATCTAATTTAATTACAATTCGAATCCAACGTAAGCCTCTTTGTTATATAAATAGCTATATTTGTGAACAGCGAATTAATTGTGTACTATAACAGTAACAGTGTTGATATTATTTTGATCCTAACAACGTAATTACTACTCAGTCTCATTAAAATTGAACAATAGAGAACCCATAAATGATCTAATAAAGAACAAAATGGCCTGTGAAACTGGAATTTGGTGAAATATATTAGCTTTATTTAACCACTGCTTTGGAGAAACAAATTCCTCAATAAAGTTTATGATTCTATTATAGTATTTTATGATACTATTGCTGGCAAAAATGTGAAGAAAGCATTTAATAATATTGTCTGCATCATCAATATTTTTCGAAGAATAGTAAGTAGGTAACTATAGAATGTTTTTATCTTTGATATCCAATTCAACAAAATATCCTGACTCCATAGAAACTGTTAAAGTTCTAACTAACCAGCTATAAAATAATTTATTCAGTTCTATATTGTGTAAGTACCTACATAATATGAACTTATGTTGTATTAATAAAGGTACATAAAGCTACAGCTTCTTTTAAATTTCTAATTATAACTGCTGAATTAAGGTTCCATAATAAAAAGAGCCGCGGAGAACGTAAAAGGTTACCGGGGCTCCGGCTCGAAGTGCAGGAGTAGCAACGGGGTGGTTTTTAGTCAGTAAGCATCGCCCATGGACACCTAGAACACCAGAGGCGTTACAAGTGCATTACCGGCCTCTTGGGGATTAGGAGTTTGAGGATCGTTGATGATTCAGGGATTGGGGAGGTTGGGGAAGGGGAGGGTAATTGGGCCTCCGGTAACCTCACTGACACGACGAAACACAACGCAAGCGTTGCTTCACGTCGGTTTTCATGACATGATATCACTTATAATTTTACTATCTAA